GTACCTCAGAAGCATTCCTTCTATTCTTATGGGCGGTATCCTTCCCTTCTGTGCCATCTTCATTGAACTGTATTTTGTAATGAACAGTATCTGGTTCCATCGCATTTATTACGGAATTGGTTTCCTCTTCTTGGTATTCGGCGTTCTCCTTTTGACATGTGCTCAAGTGACGGTGCTGATGTGCTACTTCCATTTATGCAATGAAGATTATCACTGGTCTTGGCGTGCCTTTTTGACTTCCGCTGCATGTGGCCTCTATGTCTATCTCTACTCTATTTTATATTATCTTACCAAGTTGGAAATCAATACACTTACAAGCACGATTCTCTACCTGGGCTACTCTGCTATTATCAGCATGTTATTGGCTCTTCTTACTGGTGCCACTGGTTACTTGGCCTGTCTCTTCTTTTACGTAAGACCTATGGCAGTATCAAAGTAGATTAGTTAGTACCCCTACTCCCTCATTATTTTGTTATTTTTATAAATAAACAACGTTTTATATTATTTTTTTATTGTTCTCAAATATGGTTACCTGTCGACGTAATGTTCCATTTTAGGAATACATATGACTTGAAATATAAATTCACAAGATTTTTTTTTTCCTTAGACTTTTTTTTCTTCTTATATTATATTGGACTTAACGTTATGCCTGATATAACTCTTGTTGTCTTACAGCATGGGCTTTGGGGGAAAAGCTCACATATGGGATATATTGAACGAAGCTTACGAGAAAAACTCCAAGAAGAATCTATTGTAGTGGTAAGTACACTACACAATATCCAGTATTATAGCACTGAACTCACTAATGGTTTCAATTTATCCGGATAGCTAAACTCAAAAGTAAACGAAGGGAAATATACTTACGATGGCGTTGATTTATGTGGCCAACGACTGGCAGACAAGGCAAGACAGTCAAAGAGATAAACAAGCAAAATTACTATATCAAATATATTTATCCTCTTTATATATATACTACTTTTATTTTTTGATCAGATTCACTCCGAAGTGCAAGAACTTTCTAAGAAAAACAAGTCAGTCAAGAAGCTTTGTATGATCGGATACTCCTTGGGTGGATTGATAGCAAGATATGCCATTGGGCTACTAGATCAAGAGGGATTCTTCAACCATGTCAAACCGGGGGTAATTAGGAACAAGTTAAAACGTTTGGTAGTTATATTAACAAAGCCAGTTTATCCTGATATAGTTTTTTGTTACCTTTGCAACACCACACCTGGGTGTCCGTCGACCTGAGAACTCTTTGTTTTCTCGAGTATTCAATTTTTTCAGCGGCAAATTGGTATCTCGGACTGGCGAACAACTACAACTAATTGATCGGTTCGAAGATGATATACCGCTATTGGTGATACTAGCATCCCCCAGTAAGGGACATTGAAACAAATTCATTTATCTTGGGTCAGTATGTACTCATCTCCTTTATATAGATCGACCTTACTATCAAGCACTGGGAAAATTTGATATCATCAGAACTTATGCCAATGTGAAAAACGATCGGACTGTACCCTACTGGACCGGTAAGAATTCTCTTTTTCCCATGAGGCGAGGGTCGCGGAAAGTGGACTTCCCTCTCATAATTTACGCAGATTATCTCATAGAAATCCTTCTTTTTTTTGGGGGGGTGTGATGTGGGTTTGTAGCGGCATTGATGACGACCGAGTACTTCAGGAACCTGGAAAATGTTGATTTGTAAGTTTGAGAACATAAGGGGAAGTCACAAATCCCTTAGCTTTTCTTTATTTAACGGTTTGTTTGTTGTTTTTAAAAAAAACAGGACTATTGACCAAGAATACCCATCAATTATTACGGGTTGCGATATTGTAGATAAATCGAAAAAGGCAAGGCATCGTAGGAAACAACCCATGTCAACAAGTATCCGAACAGCGCTTTTTTATGTGTTGATACCTATCATATTCCCTATATTTATCACCTTTGCTCTACTGTATATTGGGATTCAAGGCATGATGTCTCGGCTCCGTGTGTCAAAGGCTCTCAGATCGGCGCTATTACCTGTAGTCAGTGGATCAGCTAGTCCGTCCTTAGCACATTCAGTAACGTCATCATCAAATACGAGCATGGATCATGATCATCGGCAACCGGCTACGCTCTTATTTGGCACTTTGGATGCTATGAACATGGTGTCTAATATTGAAGTTACCCCCGAACACAAATCAACTCGTCTGCTAGGTAAATAAGGGGAAATTCTTTTTTTTTTATTTGGTATTAATGGTTTATTTTTTACGTAGGCAATTGGTGTAATGTTATCCCATCCGATTCCATGAAGAAGCAATCAACACAATATATATTTGATTCTCATACCGTAGATATTCAAAAGAATCTCTCGAAATTACCTTGGCAAACAGTCCTAGTCTGCCTTCATTCTTTTAATGCCCATGGAAGTATTGTTTGTAGACAAGGTATTCATACTACATCTGACGGGAAGGCAGTTATCAGGCACTTTCTAGATACTGTTTCTATGTAGTTTAGTTCGTTTAGTTACCCCTCTCAACTAGTTTAGATGTATAGATCACTACTTTTATCAATATTTTTTTTTGTACCATGTCAGCTGTTGCACCATTTGATTTTTTATCGTTTCCTAGTCTTATTATTATTTATTTGTTTTGAAATAAACGCCCTGGCGCTCTGCTGGAGCTTTGGAAATTTATCGATTTATTGGGTATCAAAGGGGGATTTTTTTATTGGAAGTGTGGGTTTTGATGGGATGGGCGGCTCCGCCATTTCTTTGGTGGGCGACCCCTTGTGGCCCAGCCGTCGTGTTCAGCGCGTCGTCAATAGGTTTTTTATGAGTGCTTAAAAAAAATATGGAAGGGATTAGAGCCTCCGCCATTTCGCACTTTGGTGGGCAGCCCCTTGGGGCCCGACCGTCGTGCTCAGCGCATCGGCAATGGGTTTTTTATGTGTGCTAAAAAAAAAAAAAAAAAAAAAAAAAAAACAGGGAAGGGATTAAGGCCTCCGCCATTTCGCACTATGGTGGGCAGCCCCTTGGGGCCCAACCGTCGTGCTCAGCGCGTCGTCAATGGATACCTTTTTAAAAAAAAATGGAAGGTCGAAAAATAGGGTGACGGAACCATTCACACTCCGCCTCTCATGGATTTAAATTTTCTCACCTTTTTTTTTTTCTTCCTCTTTCTTTCGTTTTTTTTTTTAGAACATCAACTTCAACTGCGGATTTAGTGATCTTGGATTAGTGGTTAGAAATTGAATCAGGGGCCTTTTGAAAAGTGCAATACAAACATCATGGGGAAACCCTTCCATTTTGGATTCGTGATCTTTGACCGTCCTCAAATTAGCATTCATTTTAGAATAGTGTCATTAGCTCAACTTAGCGTTTATATTGCATCTATATCAGAATTAAACATGTCTTGTCTATTTACTATTATTCTCTTTTATGCCTTTCATTGTCTCGCTGAATGGGCATGGCATATGTGCGTGGAAAAACAGAGTGTGTGGGGGTGTGGGGTTTATGCGTAGAAAAAAAAAAAACTGCAGCTCGTTGTGCAAAATGCTACTTAGAGTTTATCTAGAAATAACACCCCCCCCAACATTGTAACAGCGAAATGGATACAGTGATGTGAGTGGAGGAAATGGATGGAAAATACAAAGTCAGGGAGGTTCTACGTGGTGTGATTGGAGAAAAGGTAGTAAATTTCAAAGTCATAGATGTTTATCTTAGATGTTTATCTTAGATCATTATCTTAGATAAGGATTTGGACCATGCTCTTTTTAATATATTAAAAATTCATTATCAAGGTTTTTTTAAACCTCCCAACTTGTTGGCTTCCTTTGATTCCACACTTAGGAATATTCTTATTATATATTTTTGACAGCTGAGTCTGAATCTCGCTTCACTTTATTTTTTTTGACTTGATCCAAGTCACTACTTATTTTTTTGACCTTATTATTTTCATCTTTAAAAATAATACATCCTCACTTGGACTTTCAAGTCTAGCCCTATATTATCTTTAAGCCCCTTGAAGCTACAATCGGCTGAACTTAATCCTAAAAAGTTCTGGTGCTCACTCTATAAAAAATAAAAACCTACAAAAACAATTTCCAGCTACAATCAAGCAATGAAAATTAGCCCCAACACCCTACAAAAACACAAGCCAGTTACATACAGCCCAGTAGACTGTCGAGGATCGGCCTGAGTCCGCTCCCAACAACAACATCAACAACATCAACATCAACATCAACAACATCAACATCAATAAGCTCCTTAAGTTTTTTGTTTATTGTTACACATTACCCCAGCGTCTTTTTTCAACCGTCGTATTTTTTACCCCGATGTCTTTTTTCAACCGTCGTATTTTTTACACCGGCGTCTTTTTTAGCCCGTTTTAAAATTTTATTTCTATATATATATATCCCACTTTTTTTCAATTCTCTTTTTTTCCTTAGTTCTTATCTTCGTTATATTTACTCAACCTTTTTTATAAAATTCAGTACAAAGGTTTTTTAACCACCAAATCACTGTCTTATTTTTATTTTGTTTCTATCGTCTATATAGAAACTTTCTTTTATTTTTTGTGACTACAAGTCCTTTTTTTTATTTTTACTGTGTGTTATACACTTATTTTTATTGAACCAACAAAGGTCAATACTTTTCTTTTTTATTTTATTTTACTTTTCCAAGTTTATTTTTTATAAACTTTCTCTACAGTTGGACTTTATCTACAAAAGTTCTGGTGCTCACTACTATCAATTCTATTTTTGTCCGATTCAGGAACAAGATATTTCAAATTCCGCCCAAGGAACAAATTTATTTTCAAGCTCTAAACAAGCAAAAGCTATACTAAAGGATAACTCAAGACATCCTATTCAACCCAGAAAAACATAAAAAACCTACAAAAACACAATCCAGTTGGACTAAAATCACAAATTTAGCCGCAACAAGACAAAAATAGCCGTAACACTTGATATTAAAAAACTTGCGAAGTTCAAAAAGATTACTGCAAAAGGTTGTCCGACTTCGACGGGACTCGAACCCGCAGTCTCCGGATCGCTCAAGTCCCATAGGAGTCCGGTGCGTTAATCCATTACGCCACGAAGCCAAATCTGGTTGTGAAATTTTTTATTTTCTATTTATTGAAAACAAGAAATGTTGAGATACACAGATAGAACGCTTTTTTTATTGTAAACTAAACATAATCAAGGTAATTAAGAGACTAAACAAATTTACAATGAGTGAAAAGCTATTCTACTGTGAAGAGGGGGTATAAATTAATCTACAATAAAAGGGTATCCTATTCTACGGTGTGTGGCATACCATATTACTGTGCAGTACAGTGAAAGGGTGAGCAATTATACTACAGAGGAAAACCAATTAACAGCAACATGTGAGTACCGAGATATCGGGACAGTTGTATAAAAATTAATGAGCCACCAAGCTCCCGATTGATATCATGAAGGGGGTATAGGTGATGTTGAATAGTGGTGGGTTGCTGTTGTAAAAAACAGGAGAAGCAAAAAAAAAAAAAAAAAAAAAAAACCCCGCCCACGTGAATATTTATTTTCGTTCTTTTTTTTTTTTGCCCTCTTTCTTCTCGATTTCTTTTTTTCTTCACCAATGGAATATTTTTAGGGTTGTGTCGATCTTAGATTAGCGTCAGGTCTAGTTTAGAATGGGTTTCAGCTCAGGGATTACAAGGCGCATGGGGACACCCTTTCATTTTTGATTCGGGATTAGGAATCACCATTAGTTAGTCTTTTGAAGTCTTCGTTATCTTAATTTAGTGTTTGTTTGTCCATAGTTTATATCTATTTACCAATAACATGTATCTCTTTTTTATATGCTTTAATGAAAAATGTCTCAAAATTTTTTCTCATGCCTTGTACGATAGATCATTCCTTTACTCCCATCACCCTGTTTTATTAGTATAGACCGATGTTCCGCTTCAATATCAAATATCCCTCCAGTCACTATTATGTCCTTTGCAGATTCTTAGATAACTTTTTTGTGTGCCTTTAGATTAGAGCTGACCTTCCCTATAAATTCCAATTAGTCTTCCTGTTAATCTCCCACTTATTACCTCCATCAGATTCTTTCGCTAGATCACTTGTAGCAATGAACCCTGTCCTTATTTAGCACCTATCAATACACTTCAATAAAATATTCCTTTTTATTAATTACGTATAATATGAATAATATGATATGAGAAATGGCGCTATTGTTTGTCTTTTGAGAGTGCCTTATGGAGTACGTACTTTCTAGTTCACTCGTTTTGTTCACATTTGCTCCCCCTTCACCTCTCTCAATCCCCAAACGACTAGTTGGCAGTCTTGGATTATTTCATATGAAATATAGGTTATCATTGCTCTATCAATGAATACTAATGGACCTAGGCTATGGTATCCTTTCAAAACTTTTGCAACCTTCGTTTGAATAGACCTACTGTATACATCAAATCACACCTCAACAACAACTATTCCTACTCTGGCACACGACACCTTTCATTATTATTATTAAATTCCGTATAATTTTTTTTTTTTTGAATGTGCGAGTGCAAAATGAGTGTGTCCCAGAGTCGTGCCGTAGTTTATTTTATTTTTTTATTTTTTTACTTGTGAATCTTTTGCGAGGGAATCATAATAATTGATCATGAATGGGATATGAATAAAGATAAATTTACTACATATACAATTGTTGATAATGAAAAATAAATGCACGATTTGAAGATCGGAAAACAAAAAAAAAGGGGGGAAGGAAATATTATACAAAATAGGATTGTTTCTATTGAGTCGTTGTTTTTTATGCCACCTCTTTACTATCATGATCTACTACCCGCTTCACTAGAGTATCAACATTATCATCAGAAACTGTAAATTACCGTGATGAGTTTCCGCTATTCCACAATCATTCCCATATCCGCATCTAATTCATTCTATTGTTCAACATTGTTATCAAATCAAAATCACACTGTCAAGATTTTCAAAACAAAACACTTTTTTTTATTTGATGTTTTCAATACATAATAAAAGAAATAGAAGAAATAAAAGGCTAGATCAATGTAAAAGATAAAAAAAAAAAAAAAGGGAAAGAAGGGGCTACAACTGAATGCATACGTTTCACCCGACACTACCATTGCGTCCCTTTTCATTTTAAGGGTTCTGATATGGTTCCGCTTTGTCGTTTCATGTTGTAGCTTGCTGACCGGCGGTTCATCTGTGGCGCTGGGCCTAAGAAACAGAAGAAGAAAAGGGTAGTGAGCACCAATAGAGGTACATTTTTTACATGATGACATGAAGGGGTTTGTTACCTGATAAAATGTCGGCGGGTCCTTCATAAGGACGGATTTTGGCATAAGCATTAGAAACGTTGTTGATATAAGCCTTTTTTGCTATAAAATAAAGAGTAAATGTTCGTAAGTCCTCAGGTTTTATAATATATATATATATATATATGTATTACCTGTAGCAGGATGCTCGAAGATAATCAAGGCCCGGGTATCATCTATCCACTTGATACGATATCCGCCACGAATGTTTTCATATTCCCGAAAAATATCATGCAGGTGGTGGGTCTTGAATGATTTGGGGAAGTCCCGACAGTCCAACACCACAGTAGGTTCACCAACTACTGGCACTTGAGCTAAAGAAAATCATTCATAATAATACAAATATCGTGTCGATAAGCATATACATCCACATCTTTTTTTTTTTTTTTTTTGGTGTCTTACTTGGAGGTTCATTAAATGGGTCCATGATACGACTGGCACGTTTGTTCTTTCTTGTCAAGATAGCAGCTTCTTCATCTGGTCGATCATATTGACGCAACAATTCATTCCAATCTTCAGGTCCAGTACTTTGTCGATGATCATCATGAGGTAAGGAGTCCAACATAGACATTCGAGGATCAAAAGAGGACATAGAGGTACGATGGCTGTTGCTGGAATACCGATGATTATTTGTAGAGTTGAAATGGATGTTGCTTTCTTCAAGGTAATCGTCTTGTTCGACAGATCCACCACCATTCACATTGTTTTGTCCTTTACGCCATCCTTGTTGCTGCTGTTGTTGTTGTGAGTATCGTTGCATCGATTTGCTGTCATTACCAATACCATTGCCATTGGAGGAGATATCAGAGCTGTATCTAGCACCATTGCTGCCATTCATTTTTTGATTAAATGAGCTCCGCTTGTTTCCTTGGTCATCAGCTGTAGAATAGCGTTGTTGTTGTTGTTGGTTCGATCGCTGTTGCCCAGAGTCACTAACATCGTTCCGTCTATGCACAGGAACATAAGCCAGCATACTGTTTCGTTTCGTTCTCTTGTCAATATTGGTAGTATCCATCATACAAAGGGACGCAGGTCAAAAAAAGTGTACTTGTTATTGAGACTTTCGGGATTGGTGTGATGAGTATGATAATAATCAAGTAAGAGGGCAAGGGAAGGAAGATTGGAATGAATGGACTGACTGAAATCAAGGGTATAGATTCGAAATAGTAAAATAAAAAAGGGCTACACTTTTCTTAGATGGGAAAAGGTAAGCCGTTTGTATTTTTTTTAAAGAGGAGGGGTTGAATAGGATTGGTATATGTCTCTTGAAATCGAAAAAAAAGGAATGAAGTGGAGGAGGATGTATATGTGTTTATATATGATACATATAATGTATATATAATAGAATACGTTTCAAGGAAGGAAGATGGTAAATAAGAAGAATTGGAAAAAAAAGGAGAGTGGCAAATATTTTTTTTCGACTGGCGGTTTTTGAAATGACACACAATCTAATTTACCTGCACGATTGAGAAAACCCAAAGGTGATGTCGAGATCATTGCAAAGTTTTTTATCCCCATACCTTCGGAAGTCACCCTCCTGTTATATGAAATTGGGTAAATACAATGCTATTTATTGGTTGCAGAACACAGAAAGTAGAAGGCAATAAAGAAAATAAAGGAATATGTATGTATACAGTATATGCTCCTTTGTGTGCTGTCACGCCTGGTTTTTCTGGACGAGGCTTGAAGTGCTGTCACTTTGCACTCCTAGATTCAAAAAGGAAAAACAATTAAACACTCTCACATTTTTTAAAAAAAAAAAGAGCTACCGGGTTCCAGTAGAAGACGTTGTTGAAGTGGAAAATTTTGACAGCATGACATTAGATGCCTCCGCTATTTTACACTTTATTGGGTAATCCTTAGAGTACCCCTTTTGTGTATCGATCGGCGTTTTAGTGTGAACAGTAAAAAATATAGAGCGGGCATTGACCCCTCCATTATCACACATTTTGGTAAACATCTCATTGAGACCCAGCCGACTTTTTCTATTGCTCTACGCAATAAGGATATTGAACTGGATATATACCTAATAGCTGCTATAATATATTTCATAGAGAAGACAACATTCACAGCACACACTAGTTTTATTGGCATGACTGGTCGAGCAGCAATAAGCCTACATTCGATATCAAGTACTCCAGAACTGTCGACAAGTCACTGTAACTCTGGGAGAGGATGTAGTCATAGTGGGTTAGCTAGGAAGCAAATACTTCAAACAGACTCATAAAACATCTGCAATAGCACCATTGCTCATTATATATTGGGTCAAAGCATAGTTAATAAAAAGACACATTTTATTTGAAGCATAATGATATATACTAACTAAACGAGCGAGATTCTTTGTAACAGCTAATGGAGACAGCATGAGGAAGCCTGTTGTGAGATGTAACGAATGGTCAACATTGATCTAATGGGACGATGGTAAAACATATTATTATATACAATGCAGCGCTTGAGAAAGACCAAAGAACTGTTTTTCATTGACGTAGAGCAACGGTCAACATTAATCTAAAAGGGCCATGTTAAACAGGAATCTCATGCACAAAACTTCAAAAAGAATAAAAAAAAAAACTGTTGGACATTTTTCATTGAAGTAAACAAAAAGACACATATTTTATTCAGATGGGGATACAAAATAACATAAAGATAAGCTAATGAAGGCTCCAAAAAGCCAATTATTGATGCCCTCAGATTCTAGATTCAAAATGCAGAGTTTCCCCATCATCTTGTAATCCCTGAGCTGAAAACTCTTCTAAGCTAGTCCTGACACTAATCTA